TCGCTGCGATGCCTCGCCCCGGCACAAAATTATGCTCGCTAGCGTGCCTGCCCGGCACAAAGTTATTTTTTTCTGGCGATGCCCCCTTTTTTGGGGGCAACGTTTTTCTCGCTGGCGTGGGCCCCTCCTGGCACAACGTTTGTCGCTAGCGTGCCCCGCCCGGCACAAAATTATGCTCGCTGGCGATGCCTTCCCGGCACAACGTTTGTCGCTAGCGATGCCCCGCCTGGCACTAAATTATTCTCGGGTGGCGATGCCCTCTCCTGGGGACAACGTTATGCTCGCTGGCGATGCCTCTCCTGGCACCCGTTTTGCTCGCTAGGATGCCTCGCCTGGCAAAAGTTTTTCTCGTGGCGTGCCCCTCCTGGCAAACGTTATGCTCGCTGGCGTGCCCCTCCTGGGACCGTTATGCTGCTAGCGATGCCCCTTTCCCCACAAAATTATGCTCGTGGCGATGCCTCTCCTGGACAAATTTTGCTCGCTAGCGTGCCCCGCCTGGCACAAAAATGCTCACTGGCGATGCCCCTCCCGGCAGAAGTTATTTCTCGCAGCGATGCCTCGCGGGACAAAGTTTTGTCGTGTCGATGCCTCTCCGCAAACGTTATGCTCGCTGGCGATGCCTCTCCCGGACAAATTATGTCGCTAGCGATGCCTGCCTGGCACAAAGTTAGCTCGGGGATGCCTTCCGGCCAAAGTTATGCTGTAGCGTGCCTGCTGGGACAAAGTTATTTCGCTGGCGAGCCCCTCCCGGCACAAAAAGTTTTGCTCCTGGGATGCCTTCCTGGCACAACTTTTGTCGCTCGGATTCCTTCCCGGCACAGAGTTATGCTTGTAGCGATGCCTCTCTTGGGGAAACGTTATGCTATGGCGGTTTCCCCCTCCGGCACAGAGTTATGCTGCTAGCGATGCCCGCCTGGGACAAAGTTATGCTCGCTGGGTGCTTCCTGGCACAACGTTATGCTGTTGGCGATGCCTCTCCCGGCACAAATTTTTGCTCGCTGGGGATGCCTTCCCGGACAAGTTATGCTCGTGGCGATGCCTTTTCCCGGCACAATGTTATGCTCGCTAGCTTGTCTCGCCTGGCCCAATGTTATGTTCGCTGGCGATGCCTACCTGGGACAATGTTATGGGGGGCGATGCCTTTCCTGGGGACAATGTTTGTCGCTAGCGATGTTGCCTGGGACAAAGTTATTCTCGCTGGCGTGCTTTCCTGGCACAACGTTAGGCGTGGCGTGCCTCCCCTGGGACTAGTTTGGTCGGTTAGCGATACTCGCCTTTGGCAAAACGTTTTTGTCGGTGGCGAGGCCCCTCCTGGCACAAAAATTATGCTCCCGGCGATGCCTCTCCCGGCACAACGTTTGCTCAAATTTCGTGCCTCTTCTGGCACAAAATTTGTCGTGGCGATGCCTTCCTGGACAAAAGTTATGCGGCTGCGATGCCTCTCCTGGCACACGTTATGCTCGTAGCGTTACCCGCCTGGCACAAAGTTTGCTCGTGGCATGCCTCTCCTGGCCAACGTTAAGCTCGCTGGCGAGCCTCTCCTGGGACAAATTATGCTCGCTGCGATGCCTCTCCCGGACAAAGTTATGCTCGCGGCGATGGCTTCCTGGCAAACTTTATGTCGTCGCGATTCCCCTCCCGGCAAAGGTTATGCTTGGTAGCGTGCCTTCTTGGCACTAAATTATGCTCGCTGGCGGTGCCTCTCCCGGGATGAGTTAGCTCGCTAGGGGTGCTCGCCTGGCACAAAGTTATGCTCGCTGGCGATGCCTCCTGGGACAACGGTTTTGTCGTTGGCGATGCCTCGCCTGGCACAACGTTATGTCATGGCGATGCCCCTCCTGGCACAAATTTGTGCTCCGGCGATGCCTCTCCGGCACAAGTTATGCTCGCTGGCGATGCCTTCCTGGCCAAATTTTTGCTCGCTTGGCCCATGCCCCTTTCCCGGGACAACGTTATGCTGGTAGCGATGTCTCGCCCGGCACAAATTATGTCGCTGGCGATGCCTTCCTGGACAAGTTATGCTCGCTGGGGGATGCCCCTCCTGGGACAAATTTGGCTCGCGGCGATGCCTCTCCTGGCACACTTTATGTGGCTTCGATGTTGCCTGGCACAAAGTTATGCTCGGGCGATGCCTCTCCTGGCACAAAAAATTATGCTCCTGGCGATGCCCCTGCCAATGTTTGCCGTAGCGATGTCTCGCCTGGCACAATGTTATGCTCGCTAGCGATGTCTCGCCTGGCACAAAGTTATGTTTGCTGACGATGCCTCTCCTGGCACAATGTTATGCTCGCTAGCGATGTCTCGCCTGGCACAATGTTATGCTCGCTGGGGGTGCCTTTCCCCCGGGACAAAGTTACTCGCTCGAGTTGTTCGCCTGGCAAAAGTTTTTCGTGGGGGGATGCCCCTTTTGGCACAAAGTTATGTTTGCTGGCGATGCCCCTCCTGGCACAGTTATGTTCGCTGGCGATGCCTCTCCTGGCACAAAGTTATGTTCGCTGGCGATGCCTCGCCTGGCACAAAGTTATGTTTGCTGGCGATGCCTCAAATGGCACAAAGTTATGTTCGCTGGCGATGTCTCTCCTGGCACAAAGTTATGTTCGCTGGCGATGCCTCGCTTGGCACGAAGTTATGCTCGCATCGTATTGGGCCGTGCGGAGTGTGCGCGTAGTTGTGAGTTGGCTTTTGCGCAGTGTTTACGGTTTACTTGTGAAGATGTTTCCCTGCTC